GATGATGTAGCCAATTCCTTACATCAGTTTTCACTTCTTCATCTCGAGCATAACAACGCTCCTGAACGCCACTTTCATTGGACCACAGAGATGAAAGTCTGAGGGAATTAATCAAGGTAAATGTCACAAGTTTCTCAAAAGATTGTCCGCAAGTTTTGAATTTGGAGTTGTCCTTCATGTGAACTGTCAACTTGGGCGAAAGATCCCAGTCTGGTCAATGATTGCAAGGAGCGACTGATTCATGCCTTCCCCGATATTAAAGAAATGTAAAGTACGCGAACTCGGCTCTCCGAATTTTAATTCCGAGCCACTACCTATCATACCACGCGTATATTAGCATATATATATATATATATATATATATATATATATATATATATATATAAAAGTGAACATAAAGTCAACACTTAGAGGCTTGGTCTGACGATTGCATCTAGCATGAAACAGACTGTCGCCTCTAAGTGTTGACTTTTATGTTCACTTTTATATTTACACACGCTCTATCTCTGATATTGAGCACTTTATTCTATAAATATAGCACATCTTAAGACTATATTTCTTCATATATACATATATATATATATATATATATATATATATATATATAAAAAATTAGGAGATCAGTTGAATCCGCTTACTTTGGTTTAAATCTTACGGTATCCTCAGGCGATTTTTATTAATTGACCTCCCAAAACTTTTTTTTTTTTAATTACAGAACGGTATATTAGTTTTTAAAAAACGCACGATGTTGGGTGTAAGAAGAAGAAGAAGAAAAGAAGTGGAGAAAGAAAAAAGCAAGGGTATTATAAATGTAGTGGTGGAGGGTTAATTCAAATGTACATTTTATTTTATCCAGCCTCATATATGTTAAGCGGAATATATATATATATATATATATATATATATATATATATATATATATATATATATATATGTATGTATATAAATAAGACAAAAGGAAACGTTTCCTTTACCAACGCTTTTTTGTCTTCTGAGGAACTTTATCAGGGGATGAAATCAATTGAAGAACCAATTAGAAAAGAGCGGCACCTGAAACAACAACATACTTCGAAAACACCAGAAGACAAATAGAAAAGACGAAGAGAGCTCAAAAAAGGCTCGAGCTCTTCATCCCCTGAACCCACCAACACTACAATGTGCTGAATGCGGACGTCACTTCAGATGCAACATTGCACTCATTTCGCACAGAAGGAAGCGTCGATGAGGACCCCTGTACTCGGTAACGTGTTCCGCCAACGATGATGACGATATATATATATATATGTATGAAAGAAAAATACAGAAAAAACAAAATTCTGAATATGCATTATTAATGTTAAAATAAAGTCGACGTCGGACGTTTCGGTCTATTTAAGACCATCTTCATGGACATTTTCATTTAAACATAATTAACATTATAACTTATAACAATTTAACACAAAAGACGATGGACATAAGAGCCCAACTAATTCAAACAGATAACTTTATAACGTGGAAGACTTTATTTTAACATTAATAATGCATATTCAGAATTTTGTTTTTTCTGTATTTTTCTTTCATACTGTCGGATTTATATCCATATATTTGCTTACATATATATGTATATATACATGAAGAAATATAGTTTTAAGGTGTGCTATATTTATAGGATAAAGTGCTCAATATCACAGATAGTGCGTAAAAAATATAGAACGTATGTAAATATAAATATAAAAGTGAACATTGAATTCAACACTCAGAGGCGACAGGCTGTTTCATGCTAAACGATTGTGTTGACCTCAATGTTCACTTTATATATATATATATATATATATATATATATATATATATATAAAATGGTGGTACTCATTTTTATATATATATATATATATATGGTACTACTCGTTTGGAAAACCTCGGATAGCTCAACTTGCAGTAGAATACATGGGGAATAAAAAAAGAAAGAACCAAGAACACTAAAACTATGTTTGCCTGACTCCTTAGGATTATATATATATATATATATATATATATATATATATATATTTACATTATTCGGACTATTGTCCTCATCTTTGGCGCCGCCATATTTATCACAACGTTTCGGCCGTTGTACGCTCCGGCCTTCTTCAGGTGGTTGGAATTTCGAACTGAATTCTTTATTTCGCTCACTGGGGTAGACTGTTCTACTTACACGTGTCATGTTTGATGGATGTCACTTATCAGTTATGTCCTGCTAATTTCCCTGGGTATTGAACTCACATTCTTTGGGTCCTGTCACTGGATCTAACCAACGCCTTTATCCACTGTGCCGTGTGTCCTTGAGGAAGAAGGCCGGAGCGTACAACGGCCGAAACGTTGTGATAAATATGGCGACAAAGATGAGGACAATAGTCCGAATAATGTAAATAATGTACATAATACCTCATCTCAGAAATATAGACAGATATATATATATATATATGAACATTGAAATCAGCACTCAGAGGTGACAGTCTGTTTCATACTAAACAAAGCATTAATGTCCAGTTTTATATTTACATACGCTCTTTCCCTCATATTGAGCACTTTCACCCAGAAATATGACAGACCTTAAAACTACTGCTATCTGAGTGGGCAGCTCGTTTTCAAAATTTATTTTAAATAACATTTATTTCGTCTACCGGCCTACACACTCGAAAAAACTTTTTAAAGAAAATGCTAAAAAATCCATTCACTCTCTTTATATATATACAATTGCCGGCATTTTATATTTTTAATTTCGCGCATGCGCGTTGTGTTTTTTTGATATTGTCGTCTACACATTATAGTAGGGTCAGTTGGTCACCGCCTGTGAGAAAAAGTACACCATGACGCAATTCACTCCGCCAGAAATTTGAAAACAGCATACTGTAATACTTGGCATACGCGTTGAAATCTACAATACAAACATTTCAGAATTTTGGGGTGTCAATTTGAGGATTCGGAAAGAGTTGGATGATATATCCAGTCAATATCATCGTGTTTGGAGTGATTACTAGTGATAGCGACGTTATGCCTCCATTCATCTTCCCACAGGGCCTCGAACTTAACACAGAAGCCTGGATTAAGTGTCTTGAGGAGGTTGTGCTGCCTTGGGTCAAGAGGGTGGCTTCTTTTTTACTCTATATCTGACAGCAGGACTCTGCAACATATCACACAGGCAGGAGAACCGAGTCATGACTGTCAGACAATTTCTGCGACCGCATCACCCCTTACATCTGTCCACCTAACTGTCCAGACTGCAACCTTCTTGATTATTATGTGTGAAGCGTAGTTGAGAGATAAGTCAACAAAACTCCTTGTAACACCAAAGATCAACTGGAAGCAATGATCATGGCAGAATTCACCAACTTAAACAAGGAGAACGTCCAGAAGAGTTCCAGGTGATTCCGAAGTCGTCTGGAGGCCGTGGTTGAAGCTAATGGCGATTTTATTGAATAAATTTACTCTTTAGCATTTCAAGATATTTTTGTGTAATTTTCGTAGATATATTTGTTAAAATCAGATGTCAGTGTTATTTTCATTTTTGCGTAATTCAGACGACAATTTATACATCGCAACCTGTGTGTATGTGTGTGTGTGTGTGTGTGTGTGTGTGTGTTATCAGCACCCTCAGACTTCCATTTCTTTAATCCACTGAAAGAGGCAGTGCGGTGCAGACGTCATTATGTTGGTCATAAAGAAGTGAAAACTGGTTTAAGAAAATGGTTACATCAGCAGCCAGCCGAGATTTACGAAACTGTAATACATGCCCTGATTCGTAGGTGGACCACAGCCATTCAAAGAGATTATGGGACTATGTTGAAATAGGCATACAGACCTGCAATGATTGTGTTCCTTATTTCAAATATATCAAATCAAATTTAATTACTTTATTTTACGTCACCCTCATATTAAACACGTACATGTAAAATACATGTAGGCGTTGATATGCATTCCTTCTGCAAATGTTGAATTCGAAAGTTCTTGACCTCAGCCACAACCACTTCATCAGGTTCAAGTTCACTTCTCCACACTTCTGGTTTTGTGTTTTTTCCCCTGAGTCACCGATGAGCTGCTTCCGCTGGTTCCCAGACATCATGAATTTAAGCGTTCAACTAGGCTGGCATCTCACTCTCACCCTTTTCACTGTCAAAACTGTTAAATGTAGTCGTCTCTTCTACTCCAATAGCTTCATGTCTCGCACCTCTCGCTTGTGGAAATCCCTCTCCTCTTCCTGTTTCCCTGATAGCTATAATCTCCAACTATTCAAATATAATGTCAATCGACGTCTCCAGATGCCTATCCCCTATCCTTCTCTTCATCCTTTCCTCTATCACTTCTATTTGCTCTCGCTTCAACTCTCTGTAACCCCTTGCGTGCTAGTGGCTTCCCACCTTGCTTGCAGTGAAACGCTTAAAAAAAAAAAAAAAAAAAAAAAGAAGAAAAAAAGATAAGCACATACTGCAAAGAGTTATTCTTCTCATGGTAATTGCAGCAGTGACAGTATTTATTCTGGTTTTAGTATTACTCATAGTAGTTGTAACAATTTTCTTCATACTAAAAATAATAGTTAGCTTTTTGAGTGCTTGTTGTAGTGGCATTCCTGATAGCTGACACAGTTGTATATTTCGGGGTTCATCCTCAGAAAAAAGATTCGAATGCAGTTTTATTTCAAGAGAATCAGGACCCACTTATAAGATTGGCGTAACACAATCTTTATCCTCCCCACCATTGTTTAGTTTTGTAGCTCCACTAATCAAAGCTTATATTTTTTTTAAAAATCAATAGTTGTAGTATTAGTAATATTAATAATAATGAGAGTATAAAAGAGGAGCGGGAAGATTGTCGTCTGCCGATAAAGGTTGTTACAGAAAGTAAAGTCAAGTCAATGAATCGTGTGGCGAACGAACGAAACGAAATTAGAATAAAGGCGAATTTAGGTGAAAACAGGAGAAAAAAGATTTAACGCAGATCAAATGAATGACGTTACTGAAGGGGAAGGCAAGGAGTAAATTAACTGGAAAGAAGAAAGGATGAAGGAAAAAAAAAGGGACGGAAATAATGAAAAAGATTCAGAAAAATAGGAACGGCGAACGAAAAGAAGCAGGATGTGGATAAAGGCGGTGGAAACTTATAAATATTAATAAATGGAAAACAAAACGGAACAGCGGAGCAAATGGAAAAAAGAGGGGTCAAAACAAGAAAGTAAATAGATTCGAAAGAAAGAAAGAATGAAGGAAGGAATGAAGGAAAGAAAGAAAGAAGGAAAGAAAGAAAGAAACTAGATATTAAGAAAAAAGAAAAGAGGCTACAAACGAAAGAACAAAGAAAGAAAAAAAATGGATGAATGAAAGAATGAATGAAACGAGTGTCATAATCTTAAGAAAAAAGAACGAAAAAGATCTTACAGAAGAAAGAAAGAGAGAAAGAAAGAGAAAGAAAGAAAGAAAAAGAGAGAAAGAAAGAAAAAGAACGTTTGGAAAAGAGGAAGAGAATAAGAAAGAAAATGGAAATGTTAAGAAAGAAAGAGTTTTGAAGAAACAACGACGAAAGCAAAGAGAAAGACAGAAATATAGATTGGTTAAGAAAGAAAGAAAGAAAGAAAGAAAGAAAGAAAGAAAGAAAGAAAGGAAGGAAGGAAGAAAGAAAGAAAAAGAAGAAAAAGAGGTTACGAACGAAAGAATTAAGAAAGAAAGAATGGATGAATGAATAAATGAATGAGATGAGAATTATAGTTTTAATACAGTAAGAAAAAAGAAAGAAAAAGGGCTTACAAAAGAAAAAAGAAGATCATTTGGAAAAGAGGAAGAGGATAAGAAAGAAGGTGGAAACGTTAAAAAAGAAAGATCTTTTGAAAAAATAGATGTAAGGAAAGAGAAGAAAAACAGAAAAATAGAAAGAAAGGTGATGGAGATGAAGGGGCGGCAGTTACAAAAGAAAGAAAGAAAGAAAGAAAGAAAGAAAGGAAGAAAGAAAGAAAGAAAGAAAGAAGAGGTTAACAAAAAACAAAAAGAGGTTACAAAGGAAGGGATGAACGAAGGAAGGCAGACAGGAACGGAGAAAGAAAAGAAAAACCATCGAATGGTGGAAAATGCTTCAGTCAAACAAACACAAAAAAAACATAAAAATCGTGTAAAACAAAAGACTGTCACAGATAGAAAGACGGGCGTAGAATAAATTATGAAAGAAAAAAAAAAGAAAAGAAAGTGAAAACATTGAATAGTGCAATTATATCAGCGAACCAAAGAAAAATTGAATACTCAGACTAAAAATAAAGAATTACATAAAAAAGTAGATTTGCTAAAAATGAAAGAAATATCAAAAGACAGAAGGAGAGAGAGAGAGAGAGAGAGAGAGAAAGAGAGGGAGAGAGAGAAAAAAAAGCAAAAAAAAACAAAACAAAAAAAAACAAAGATAAAAAAAAGACAGAAAATGGCTAGGTGAACAAAGAGAGACAAAGCAAACGAATCCCAACAGTTTCAGATAAAATCTTTCTCTTCGTGTATCAAACACTTTTATTTCTTGCCTCGTTTTCAATGTTTTCACTTAGAATTCTCTTTGTCTTTGTTCTCATTCCACACCATATGACGTCATCGCCTTATTTAGTCTTTGATTTCCGTCTAACCCCGTTATCCGGTCTTAGACAACTCCCAACCGTTTCGAGATATTCAAGTAATTCTTATCGATACATGTTTTAATTTTATATTTTTTTGTTGTTGTTTTTGCCCAAAATTCTGAAGGTCGATTGTGCAGTATAATTATATTGAATTTAAGAGTTGTTTGTTGCCATCATTATACACTTTACCAGAACGAAAGCCAAATTGGGTTGCGAGGAGTTGACTTTCATGGAACATAAAGCCGTTTCCCTATAAGGAAACATTTGGCATTCATTGCCGGAGCAACCAGTGCTATTGTCGGTTGAAATTTATAAAATCTTTCTCTTGAAACAATTCTTCAGATAAATAGGTTTCTTAAGTTCAATAGATGTTATTCTTCCTTCCAGTATCGATGGGAGTTTCCTTCCTAACCTTTTATATGAAGTTGTGTGGAATGTTAAAATCATGATCATGTCATTATTGCCTCTTTGAGTGACTATCCATTTTAGTCGTTTCTGTTGTTGGTAGTTCTTAAGTTATATGGTTTTTGTTATTTTGTACAGTTCTTTGTTTATGATTCTGTAGCAGCACTCCAACAGAATGAGCTTTGCTAAGACACTCAGGCTTCACACGGTCAAAGCCTTTTTTCAGTATTGATCTTAGAAGGCGGTTGGGTACAGCTGACAATTCAGATATATCTGAACGGGTTTGACACCAAACATGACATTCAGATGAAAGTTTCGATCTGACGAGGCTAAGAACATGACTCGAGTTTTCAAATTAATGTTTTCTTTTTGTAGTAACTTGTGGTGTCGGGATAAGTTGCCAACAAAACAGCTTAATCTATGTTCAATCTCCTTCGGCCCTCTACTAAATTTGTTATAACTGTTCCATATGCCAAGGTGTTTCAAGGATTTAGTGTTCACCAATTCCACAGCCTGAATTTTGATCCTGGATTCAGAGTGTGTACTTTTAATTCCAATTCCGGGTCATTGTTTCTGTTTTGAAAACGTTTATGCAGAGTCTTAACTCTTGGAACACTTGGTAGAGGATGTTGACTTCCTGTTCAAAATCACTCTTATTTCAAGTATGAATACCTATGTCATCAGTATAGACACCTCCCTCATCATTTGTACATTGACCTTGTGAAGGAAAGCACGATCATTGTTTCATATTTGTAGATTCGTTTGGAATGTTGTATAGAATGCTTAAATGATCAGAGCCCATTTCTTTCCATCTGTGCTTGTATATGTACAGAGTATAGTCTAAGTACATAGTTAATACAATGTTCTTTAGTGATTTCAACATAATGGATATAATTGAGATTCTTATGTATGTGTGAGGGTCTCCACGACTACCTTTTTGTTTCTCTAGTACATTAATGCCTGATATATCCCACTTTTTGGCGATGCACTTATGATTTTAGTCTTTCTTCATAAAATTAAGAAATTTAAATTCGAGAAGAGGATATGCTGTTTTCAAAATTCTGCAATGTCAAGTGATGCTTTATTATTCCTCATCATTGGGCTCATTATAGTTTACGTTTGGAAACAGATTTTATAATGATCGGATGTAGACTAGCGTATGTTCTATTTTTTCCAGGCATCTTCAGCTTAGTGTTTTCACGGTTGGAATGTGACTGAAAGTATTTGTTGAGAACAGTACATTTCTTCTGCTTTGGATTCGGTTGTGTGATATTATGTTGACTTTTCGCTTTGCTCCACATTTCATCATAGTTTATTGTATCAACGATTTAAAAAAATGTCTTTCTTAATTGTTTAATATTCTCTCCTTTATTTTTCCTTCGTCTTCTGTTTGTTTCTTTCTTCTAACAAATTTTTAAAATCAGGATTTTCATCCCACAGGAATTCCGTATTTTTTATCGACAGATTTTAAAATTCTATATCTGCGTCGTTGTTTTTTTGTTTTGCCCAGCTTTCAGAGGGTCGATGGTACAGTATAATTACTATGAACTCCTTTCTTTTAAATATTTTTATCAAATTTATTGCCATAAGCTTTCAGAGTTCTTCCATCCTACCGGTCATTATTTGGCATTATACGCCAGCCTTGATTCGAACTCCCGTGTCAATATTAACTCAGTTAAGTCTGGCACTGGGCCACAATAGGGGAGCGTTCAATCAAGATAGAATTCACGACAGTAATAATAATTGGTGAGATTATTTCCACAGCGGTAAGCGAATCCCAACAACTTCAGATATTTATATATACGATAGTACCATCTTCAGTTTCCCATCGCCATAACGTCGCTTCCCTGTGACTTTTCTATAAACATGTTCATGGTAATTGTTCTGATGAACTTTTCTCTGTGGTACGTAGACATTATGAATTTAAGTGTAGTACTAGATTGACAGCTAGGTCTCATTATTTTATAATTGAAATGGCTAGATGTCACCGTTCTATGCTAACAGTTTCTTTCTTTCCACTTCCCACTTGTGAAACTCTCTTCCAGCTTCTTGCTTTGCGGCCAACTTTGATTTTCAAAAATTTAAATTATGAAAATTTAACTGTCTGGAAAGTCGTGTAACAGAAGGCAGAAAATGTGACATCGAACCCGAAAGCATATTTGAATAGGAAAAAAAAAAACGTCGTCCAAAATAATTAGAAAACAATCTTTAGAAACAAGGGAAAGAGTTCTGTGTAATAACGAAAAAAGCAGGCTTAGAGAATCTGAAACTCACAGGACATATTGAAGGCAAGAAGAACAGAGGGACACATTAGGCAACATAACGGACTACAATGAATGGAAGTGGTTTCCCTGATGGAAAAAAAGAAAATGCAGGTTCGATTCCTTTCTTTAGTAACACTTTCCAATCTAGGCCGGTTAATAATAATAATAATAATAATAATAATAATAAAACACTGGCAAATATGGACCTTTGTGACCGCAGAAAAACCAGAGTGTCAAAAGGACGCAATTCCCATGACACCGCTAATATCTTAATGACCTTTCATCCCCGGTAATGTTCGTTGTTTTAAAAAGCGATGATTAGAATTGGAATAAAACCTAAACATATGATAAAAAGTGAATTTATACATTTTTTTGTTCTTGAGAATTTACAACGAAAATATTAAACACTATTTATTTATTAGATTGTTGATTTACAAGAATAATTTTATATTTACAACATTCTAAAAACTAATGCAATACAAAATTTATTTACCAATTTATAAAGAAGTGAATATGAAAAATGTTTAATTCATAAATTTAAAACATTTACTAATTTATTAAAATATGCGAACCAACTCTAAGGAAATCCTTATTATTTACCCTTTTATAAAGTTCGAATCGATTGCCAATTCGCCGATGTTTTGCCAGACATTCCAATAAACAATATGATAAATAGTGTAAATAAACAATTTAATATATAAATAGTGTTTATTATTTTAGTTATGAGTTATCAAGAACAAATAACATTTTAAAACAATAAACATTGTTGAGAAGTGAAGGTAGTTAAAATAATAGAGGTGTCAGCGGAAAAACCGTCCTTTTGACACAGTTTTTCGGCGAGCATGAAGTTCCAAGTTAGTCAAAAAACTTATCTAACGAGGATGAAATAACGTCATGGCCCTTTATAGTCTTATAAAAATATACTATTATAAATAGCCCTGAAGTTATTTCATCTCTTTGCAATGCGCTTTGCCTGTAACCCAACATTTGACGGCAAAGGCCATCCCCTATCTGACGTCATCACTGTCCCTTAGCCTAAACTTTGTGATTATTACGCCTCGGTAAGTTTTTAGACTCAAAAAACGCCTCTACGAAGGCTACTGGTCAGGATAAAACCCCGCTGGTTGTTCTTAAGAAATTTTACCCAGTGTTATTTCCAATCTTGGCAAAGTAGTTTAACCTGAAGGAGAAATGTTTTCGAATTGCATGGAAGGTGGCAGCTGTACTCCCTCTTTTCAAGAATGCGGGTGTGCGTTCATTCCTGTCGTAATATCGATCGACCGGCTTAATTAATGTCAGTGGCAAACTCTTCGACCAAGAACACTTTCAACAAGAATGTTATTGATCAAATCAACCGAAACAACCTCCCGAGCGACAAACAGTATGAATTTCACTATTCTACGTCCACTGCTGATGTCTTAAGTGTCGTTACACACAACAATATTCGATAATAAATTCGTCACGAGAGCTATCGCCTCAGATATTTCAAGGTCTTTTGACAAGTTGTGGTTTAGGGGTTGCTATACGAACTATCCAGCTATAGGATCTCTGGAGAAGGTTTTTTTTTTTTGCAATTAACAAGTTCTTCGTATCCGAAGCCCCTCTCTTTAATCTTACTCTTGTTCTGCTTTTTACATGACAAATGTTATGGGCTTACCTCCAAAAATCGAAACAGATCAATGGATGAGTGTAAAATGTCTTGTAACACTGAATACTCCCCAAACCAAGCTAGTCACACTTCATCATTACTGAGCAGACCCTAAATTTTCTCTAGTCCTCATGAACGGTTATGCCCTCAACGAGGGTTTCTTGCCTAGAAAATCTTTGGGACTGAGGCTCACTGAAGATCACAAGTTCAACTCGTATAGACGATCCATCACTAAAGGGACTGAGAAATGGTCGGATCCATGTAACTCTCCAGAAATTTTCTGACTCTTTTTACCGTGTTCTATCTTTATAAGTGTCAGATCTGACCCCCAAATTGGGGTATTATTACCACATCTGGGCTGGAGTATGTAAGTCACCACTTTACAGCCTTGATAAATTTAACCCACAATATAGCATACCTTAAAACTATATTTTATCAAAATAATTATATAAAGTTCATTATTTTTTTAAAATAAAGCGTTAGAAGGTCAATGGATAAATGTTGCCTGGTGAGACTTGGAACCAAGATAGCGGATTCACCTGATCTCCTGATTTTTAAAGTTAAAGCTCTACATGTTATATTTACTTTTATTTTATTTTTTCAACGTATATTGTGCACTCTTTAATACCACTGTTTCCTGG